CCTCTGGAGAGGGGGAGGGGGAGGGGGCGGGGGGCTCCACCTGGGCTGCCGGCAGGGGAAGGGATGTGCGCAGCCAGAGACGAGCCTGGAGCCCTCAGGGCCTCCCGGAGGCCAGAGCTGCCGAAACGAGGCTGGACAGCATGCATGCGACGGAGAGAAAGCCACGCGCCCGTCCCGTGTGCTGCCTCAAACAAGCACGTTCCCTAAGTCACTCCTGAGGAGGAGCTTCCCCAAGCCCCCCGGATGCCCGCCACTGAGAAGGTGGCAGGGGCCTGGCCGCCGTGCTAGTTCTGCCTCAGGTCATAACCAGGGGCAGGGTCGCCGAGCTATGGGACCTCACTCTCATGGCGTCCCACAGTGACAGGGGGCTCCCTCCCCCTTTTTTCTCAGTTGGCCCACTTCCTCCTGCACCTGAACCTGTTGTTGCAAACTCAATACCTATAGGAGTCACGAGCCACCCTTCCATCCATTCACCACCCACCCACCCATCTATCCTATCCATCTGACCCATCCATCCATCTATCCACATCCAGTGTCCTTATATCACCCACCATCCACCCTTCTATCCACCCATCCATCCATCTGTCCACCCATCTAGCCTCTATCCATCCACCATCATCTGTCCACCCTCTACCCATCCATCCATCCGTCCATCTTCCATCCATTCACCCTCCACCATCCATCTATCCACCATCATCCATCCACACACTACCCATCCATCCACTCTACCCACGCCTCTACCAGCCCCCATCCGTCCATTTGCTCTCCCACCCACACACCATGTGCCAGGTTCTGTGCAATGAATACAACAGACCCGGTCTCCCTGAGGATGTAAAGCCAGATGCCTCGATGTCTCTGGAGGTGGGAGAAGGTGAGATGAACCCAGAAAAGTGCTCTCAGAGTCAGTTAGAGCCCTTCTCAAACCACCATGGTGGGACCTGCCCTCCCACACTCAGGATGAAGACAACATCTGTTCTCAGGAGCAGGTGAAAGAGTCTGGCCTGGCGACCCCACCCCACTGCACGTGTGGGTGGGGAAGATGCAATCTTGCACAGCGACCTTTCACCCCTGCCTCTTTCCCAACTCAGACAGCAGGAGCCCAGTGGCCAGGCCCTATCCTCCAGTGAGGAGGGGAAGGATCTGCTCCGAGGAGCTGGGGAGACAAGTGACGGACCACACCCTGAATGCAGGGCCCTCAGCCTCTGGACACCCACCGTCAGTGTTGGGACATTTGACATAGCGTGGCGGGACATTTGAGGAAGTCCCCTGACCGCAAGCCCAGAGACCAAGCAGAAGAGGAACATATGAGAAAGGAAAGCGTTTCAGACACACCCCAGAGATGCAGGACACCTGTAGCGGGGCTGACGCATGAAGACGAAGAGCTCTTGGAAATAACAAAACGCGGGAGCAGAAGTGAAAACCTCAGCTAGAGAGCTGGAGAGGAAGCCGAGGCAGCCCCAAGAGAAGGGAGAAACAGGAGAGAGGACCATTCCAGAGCCTTCTGGAGCCCCGATCTGGGTATGAGGGAGTCAAGAGAGGCTCCCAGGGCAGATGCAGACCCAGTTGCAGACGAGCCCAGCCCTGCGTGCCCCCAGCTCAGTGTCCACCAGGACCAACGTGGTGCTGAGAAGGGATCACGCCAGGCGTCCCTGAGACGTGCCAGACGTGGGCACAGAGAGCCAGCCCCACCAGCTTCCAGGGCAGAAGACTGCTTCCCACCAGCAGCACGAGCAGGAGCACGCGGCCCTCTGGACAACACAAGGCGGGAAGCGCCTCGTCCAGTGGTGGGCTCTCGGGCATCGGGAGGCGCGGGCACTGTGCCCATGGCCCCACTGGGAAGCCCCCCGGCTGGTGTTCCATGTAAACGGGGAGGCCCCAGGGCCAGGAGGGGCAGGAGGAAGCAGGGAGCCCAGAGAAAGGGGCTCACCTCCTCTGCGGCCTGCTACACCCCCCCCCACCCAGGAGGAGCCGGGGGAGCCAGAGCCCCTCGCCGAGACCCCCGGGCGCCACTGGGTGGGCAGGGAGGGGGCACCCCAGACCCTCTGGGAGAGCTCCGTCTGGGTGCAGCTGCAAGGGCAGCCGCCGTCCACGACAAGGACACCCAGTGTCAGCACCAGCCTCAGGGCTGTGTCCCGGCCACGGCTCTGGGGGGCGTGTCCCACACACAGACCCCCGTGCAAACCCCAGCAGCCTCTGTCATGGCACCAGGAAGGCCCGGCCCCTGGCCCACGGGTCACCCACCATCCGATCCCCAGGGCTGGGTCATCCAACAGGACGCGGACAATGTAGAGCAGGCAGGTCAGCAGCTTCAGGGAGAAGTTGAACAGCCGGATCCTCAGGCCTGTGGGTGGGGGTAGGTGGGGGAGGCAGCGGTCAGGGCTCCTGCAGTGGCTGGGACCCTGCACCTGGGCTGCTGTGCCTGGCTGTCCCGGCCAACGCTGACCAGGTGGCTCTGCGTTGGGGGGGCTCTGCCAGGCTGGCCTCCGAGAGGCTCCATGCCCACCCACCTCAGGGACGAGGTGCAGAGTGTCCCTGAGCTGCTGGCCCTGGGGGTGGGCCTGGGGGTTGGGGGAGCAAGCTACAGATCGATGGGCCAGAATCCACAGGCACCACCTCTGCACCCCAGCCTGCGTCCCAGGTGGCCAGGCTCCTGCTGGGAAGGCAGGTGGAAGAGCCCCCAGAGCAAAGGGGAGGGCCACACGGTGGCGCCAGGGAGCCGCGTGCGCTGGGGGGCTGAGCCGCGGCTGGCCCTGCCTCCAGGGTCCCGGCATCTCCCACCCTGGAAGGTGGCAAGGAGCTGAGATAAGGAACACGCCCATCGCCCCGCCCACTCCAACACAGCCCCTCTGCGCTGCCCCTCCACAGACCCCACTCACTGGATCTTTGGTTTTTGATGAAGAACAGCTTAAGCCTCTCCTTGAAGGTGTTCTCGTTGACGTAGAACTCCACCTGGACCCTGCGGGGCAGGCAGGCGTGGGCTTGGGGCCAGGGGCCTCAAGCCCAAAGCCCCACACCCCCACGTGCCCCAGCTGACCCTCCGGCCGGCTGCCTCCCTCCCCGCGCCCGGGGCCCTCCAGGCCCCGCAGATGCACACAGTCAAGGCCCCCAGCCTGGGCCGTCATGGCGGCTGCCAGGACCACAGGTGGCCTGAGTGGCCGGCCCTTGGCTCAAAACACACCATATGCTTTGTACAGAATGTTCCAGAAGCTGATGGCCGGGTGCTTTTCTGGGGGCCCCTGGTGGCTGTGCCTGGAGGCCCGCTGCAGCCCGTGGGATGGTCAGGGCTGGCAGTGGGGCCCCTCCAGCTGCAGCCATTGTCCTGGACAATCCTCAGATACCCTGAGCCCCTGGGTGGGCGCCCAGCCTCCGGGGAGCAGACCGCATGGACTGGCAGGAACAGCCTGTTGAATGGGGAGGCAGATGGGGAACGGCCATCTGGTCACCCAGAGTGAGGTGGGGCCTGGGAGGACGGTTGCTGCCCCCACCTTAGGCGCAGGCCCGCTGTGGCCAGCCAGGGCGTCTTGTTCCACCACAGTGAGAACTCTGGCGTTGACCGCAGGCAGGATGGCCACAGCCCTGCCGCCAGGTTCTTGCGCAGGAAGGGTCTAGCATTGCCTTCCTCCCGGAAGTGGGTCTGGGGCTGGGACTGTCTTGCTCTGGGCTGGCACCTGCTGGCCCCCCCACAGCCTCTATTCCAGGCTGCCTCAGCCGCAACAGAGGCTTGTCTCAGGACCCCAGAGCGGCCCGCGGGCATCATCGCCATTCCCTGCCCCCTGACCAGACAGAGGCACCGGCAGCCCGGGATTTGGGGCGAGGCTTTGGGCCGGGAGGGCCTGGTCCGAGATACCCAGATGTCAGGTGCAGGCGAGCCCCGCCACCCTCAGGGATGTTGTGGAGGTGGAACAAGGCTGTCCAGGTGAGGCAGCAGCTCACCCACGGCTCTGTGTGATGGTCATGACACACACACAGAGAGGAGGCAGGGAGACCCAGCACCCTGGAGGCAGATTTGTGCTACCCAAGGAATCCTGGAGGGCTGCATGGAGGAGGTGGCAGTTGAGCCGCTGGGATGCAGGACAGTGGTCCACAGGCAGAGGTGAGGCGCACGCTGGCCCCAGCCCCTGCTCCCATTCAGAGCGGGGGCTCTGAACATCCTCCCCCTCTGACCAGGCTCCAGCTCAGAACAATGCAGAAATTAATGCCTCTGTCACCTTGAAAGTTTCATGACACTGCTCTGCCAGGGGCTGGCGACCCCATCATCTTCGAGAAGCGTTTAAAATATTCGTTGCTCCCCAAAGCCTGTTCGACCCAAAGCACGTGAAACAGACCTGACGTGCCGGCAGCAGCCGTCTGCACCTGCCCGGGTGGTGGACCCAAGGGAGGTGCCGTGGGCAGAGCCATCACCTTCCTGACCTCCGCAGGCTGGGGGGCCCCAGCCTGACCACAGCGGCCGCCCCTGGTCACAGGGCTCAGGAAGGGGGAGCGACGGCGGTGTGGGCCTCCCCACCCTCAGGTCTGGATGCAGCGTGGTCAGCGGGGCAGCAGGACAGGCCTCCCGCAGAGCAGGGTCCAAGCCCAGAGCACCCCTGCACGCCGTACACCCCGGCACATCTCTGCGAGCCCTCTGTGAGGGGGGATGGGCCCGTACCCCAGTGCGCCCGATGGTCACCCCACCCCGGCACCCTCCACTGCGCCCAGCACACCCCTGTGTACCCCACTGTCCGCTGTACCCAAGCACACGCACCGTACATCACAGCCCAGCGTACTCCTCACGAACGTGAGTCACTCAGTCGTGTCCGACTCTTTCCAACCCCATGGACTGTAGCCTGCCTGGCTCCTCTGTCCAAGGGATTCTCCAGGCAAGAATGCTGGAGTGGGTTGCCATGCCCTCCTCCAGGGGATCGTCCTGACCCGGGGATCCAGCCTGGGTCTGCTGCATTGCCGGCAGAGTCTTCACCATCTGAGCCACCGGGGAAGCCCGCACGGCTCCCAGTATGCCCCTGAGCACACCACTGCACCCCAGTGTACCCCACTGGACCTGAACCCCAGCCCCTCTGTAGGTGCTGCCTGGGGCCAAGTCAGTGGAGCTCCCGAGGGCCCCTGGGGGAGCTGGTCAAATGCCTTCTCTGTGAAGGAGGGGCTCAGATAACACGAGCTGGGCCGGGGCCAGGTCAGGGGCAGACGCCCCGGAGTGGTGCCCACGTGTTCCGAGGGACCACATGCCCCTCACCCTCCTGCCTGCACAGCGAAGCCTCAAGGAGGGTCCCCACCCCTCGTGCCCTTCACCTGGGCACCCCTCCCCAGACCCAGGGGTCAGGATGGCTGGCCTGGGACCAGTTACTCCCAGTAACTAGTGGACTAGTAACTGCTCCTAGTAACTGATGTGGACGAGAAACCCACATCACCTGTCAGCCCCCTCGCCTGGGCAGCTATGGACACCCAGACAGGCCTGGCCTGGGAAGTTGAGCCTGGGTGCTGGGGAAATCCACAGAGCCGTCTCCACTTTTTGGTTTTTCGTTGTTTTGGGTTTTTTTGGCTGCACTGTGTGGCATGGGGGATCTTTCCTGAGCAGGGATCGAACCTGTGTCCTCTGCAATAGAAGCATGGCATCTTCACCACTGGACTGCCAGGGAAGTCTGTTGCTTCCATGAGCTGTGGCTGCCCACTTCTCCCACCACAGAATTCAGGTTGCAAGCTTTCCCTGTAACCTGAAGTTTAAGGTGGTGGCTGTAACTCAGCGGAGGTGTGCTCCTGGCTCAGCAAGGCTCCTGAAGGAAATGGCCACCGGGGACCATGGACCGTCTGGCCCTGCTCCTCACCTGCCTGGCTCCACCCATCTAAGCCTCAGCCACCTCACCTGGGGAACAGGCAGTGACAGGATCCGCCTGCCCCAGGCATCCTGAGGGTGCCTGGCAGGGCTGCTGCAACTGTGTAGAAATCAAAACTGTACCTCTGTACCTCGGGTTCTCCCCTGTAAAGTCTGGCTGTGCTGTGCTGAGTCGCTCAGTCGTGTCTGACTCTTTGTGACCCCATGGACTGTAGCCTGCCAGGCTCCTCTGTCCATGGGATTCTCTAGGCAAGAATACTAGAGTGGGTTGCCATGCCCTCCTCCAGGGAATCTTCCCCACTCAAGGATTGAACCCAGGTCTCCTGCATTGCAGGCGGATTCTTTACCATCTGAGCCCCCAGGGAAGCCCCCAAACCCGGCTCAGCCTCGGTTTTCAGAGGATTAAGTGAGAGAGGACCCCTGCCCTTGGCCCTGCCTTCCTACCCTAACTCAGTGGTGCCAGAGATCAGGGCTGGTGTTGCTGAGTCCGACTCTGGCCGACACCCATCACTCACGTCACCCAGAGAAGATGGCCCTGTGCTGTAAGCCCACGTGTGTGGCTGCGGGTGGCACGTGGTGGGTGCCCACCAGCTGTGGCTCGAGGCCCCTTGGTGGCCCCGTGGTGGAGCTGGCGGCCAAGCCCGTGGTACGCTGCTCTGAGGAGCAGGGGAGGGCTGGGTGGGGGCCAGGAGCTGGGACACCACCAAAAGCTCACATGGCGATGGCCCTGCTAACAAGCTTGTGAGCCCTGGGCAGGGGCAGACGAGGCATCCGCCCCCTACACACCCGCTCCTGTTCAGCCATTCATTCCTTCAGCGGGCGGCCGGCGGGGAGCGCTGGGCACAGTGGAGGGGCCATGGATGCTTAGCCCAGGGCACAGGAAGGTGTCAAGCCCTGGGCAGGCCTAGGGGCCCTGAGGCTCCCAGGACCCCGGCCTCAGAAGGACCCTGGGGTTAGGCCATGAGCCCCAGGACTGCTCAGGCCAAACCCACACCCCATCCCGGAACAGCCCTCAGCCCTGGTCTGTCTGTCCTGCTCAGAGTGAGCAGCTCTCTGACTGTGAGGACAGGGACTCAGCCTGGGCAGCTCAAGAGCCATGCCCCCAGCCCCTCACCGGGCCTCTCAGGGGGCTCCTGCCAGCCTTGTGCCTACACGCATGGAAATGGAGGCCCACCCAAGCTGGGTGGTGGCTCACATCACCCAGCAGGTTGAAAGAAATGGGCTTCTGGGCTCCCCCCGGAGGCCGGGGCTCCTGAGTTTCGGATGCCAGCAGTCAGCTCTGGCCCATCCCCACGCAGCCTGCATTCGAGTGGCCCAGGCCCGCGGCTGGTGTGCAGCGTCTTGTCCACACTGGATGGACTGGAGGGGGCCCCCTTGTGCCAGCAAAGTGGCTCAAACCACACCCACCCCACCCCACACCCGGATGGGACCTGTCAGGCGTGGCAGGTGGAGGACGCTGCAGCCTCCACTCCCCGTTGACCGGCCGGCTGACCAGTAGGCTGACCAGCGGACTGGGGAGCGGCCTTCCAGGGATTCCTGGCAGGAGGTTCCGGCACAGATGGCCTGTGCTGGGAAGCTGCAAATGCAGGGCCAGGCGGCCGGCCCTGGTGGGAGGGTGGCCAGACACCAGGCAGACGGCCGCAGGCAGGCCCACCCACTGGCTGTGACAGCCGCGCACTCACATGGGGCCGCGGTCCGGCGGCCTCCTTCCTGGGGGCCTGCTGCGGGCTGGTGGCTGTCCAGCAGGCGCCTGGGAGCTCCAGGCAGGAGGCTGAGGAGCCCAGGGGCAAGACAGAAGAACAGAGTCTGGGCCCAAGCGCCAACTCGGAGGCCGGCTATTCTGAGACTGAGCAGAGCCTGTGACCCGCCCAGGAGCCTGGGCAGGACAGACACGTGGCCTGCTCTGCTCTAGGTTCCGGGCTGGACCGGCAAGGAGTCGGGCCTGTTCGGTTTGGGGGTGGGGCCCTTGGGCTGACGGTGGCACTGGGACCGCTCTGCCCCCACCACACCCAGCCCCATTGCAGATTCGCCGGTGGGGGCATTGGGGGCGGTCACAGGACTCTGCTGTAGCCCCCCTGCCCCCCACTGCACAGGCTGGGGCACTGGCCAGCCTGCGGCCACAGGCCTCCTCT